TTACAATCATTTTACGAATTTTATATATGAAGTACTATTGAGTGTTGACAAAAACCTTAAAACTATTATAAACTCATATTAAAATATCTCTCGGAGGAATATGACATGTGAATATTATGTTTGACAAACTTAATTTCAAAGAATTCCAAGTGGTAGTACACATGCTTTTTTTTTCTTCCTTTTTTGAGTGAATAGGTTTTGGAAGACTATCATTGTTTTGCAACTTTCATATCTAAAATTATCAGGTGCTTACATAATCACCCCCAAATCATACTATGAAATTATTGTGCTAGGTGGAGTACTCATTTTGAAAACTTTTTTCATCTCCCACACGCCTCTTAATAAGTTATCTCAAATATTTTACTCTCTTGATCCAAAATAATTGATGTTTTAGCCTCTAAAAATGGTCTTAAATATTGATATTTCACAAAATCAAGGTCTTTAATTATGTCAACTTAAAAGGAAAAGATCTTTCGGAAACGATCTCTCTATCTCCATGAGATAGTGATAAGGTTTGCATATACTTTACCTTCTCCATACTCCACTTAGTGGAATTTCACTAAATATGTTGTTGTTGTCATCATCGTCTCCCATCATTAAAAATTTCAAGAACTTGCAATGTTAGAGGGAATTTAGAAAACTTAATTCGCCCGTAGAAGAAGAATCATTTGTAAATTTATTCCTGTACAAGTTGATGCTTTGAATATGTTGGAAATTTATTCCAAGATCAATTGGTTATTTCCTCTTAACATGTTAGATTGGATCGACTCGTAACTCATTGTGTGTTACTATTTGAAAGATCAATATTTTAAATTTATTGCTCACAAGTAGAAATTAGAACTAGGAAATACAAACATGAAGTTTAGCGTATAATATATCTTAATTAATAAAAGAAAAATTATTTGCATGCATAATATTTGTTTATTCTTTATTTTTTCTTCATTTAGAATGATATATAGTTAATAAGTAATTCTATTATTTATATTCCATCAATGTAAAGTTTGTTTATGAAAGTTTTATTCATATACAATACATGTATAGTTATATGTCAAATTCATTTCTTAGTCTACATACTTTTACTTTATTTCAATATTCATTTCATTCATTGATCTTTCTCTTTGCATTCTCAAATAGATTTAATGATTCGATTACTGCAAACAATTAATGTATATTTACTTCTGGATGTTTCATCACCAAATTACCACCCTGATTTTTCTTTCAATATGAACAATACTAAATGAAAAACATTCCACATTAAGAAAGAGTGATAGTAGTGTTGTTTGACGATTGTTCCTTGATTTAGATAAAAATCAATGAAATTGAGTCCCTCTAGAAAAAGTAAATAAAAAAACTAAATGAAAATTGTGGCAAATGGAAAAAGCAATTTTCATTCAGAAAGTGGTAATCAGCCAATAATTACAACATTAACAAGTAGTAGTTATAATACAAAAGGATCTTACAAATCGTTAATATGTTTCCAAAAAAAAAAAAACCCAGAAATTTACAACCCATGGCAGGAACTAGAGAGACTCACAAGTCACAAACAGAGAAATAATTACATAAAACTCACTCATGTAATTTCAGATACGGAATATGAGCAATTTTGTGCCAGTCTTCTCCTATTCCCTTCTCACACCGCTTTTCCAGTATTGGGCTGCGACTAATGCTTAAACTTGTGAGGGCTGTTAGGTGCTGCAATCCCTCCCGTAAACATTTTAGCATCTCATAGCAAAAAATAGATAACTCTGTAAGTGAAGTCAAACCTTTCACTCCTTCCTCGGGGAGACTCTCTAGTGCATAACAACTTTCAATTTCCAGACTCTTCAAAGCATTGAGACTAGCGAGGCTGCTAGGCAGCTCTTTGAGATTACAGAGCCCAGAGATTTTCAAGTATTTGAGATTCGCAAGGCTTTTCACCATCTCTTCTGGGAGTGAAGTAGCTTTGATGATACTGCTAATGTGGAGGAGAGTAAGAGCGCAAAGATTGGATATGGAGTTCAATCTCTTCAAGCACAGGGAATTGCTCTTCTCCTCCCTTTTTGAGCAATCCTTTCAGATTACAGAAGTCCCATATACTAAGTTTTCTCAGGGATGGAAACCATCTTCTTGTGGAAACGTCATCCTCTTCAAGATACTCCACCTCCCCAGACCCATTTGCTAACACTAGACTTTCTAGACAAGGCAAATCACCAAAGGGTGGTAAGCATGAGCAGTTTTCGCAACCTTCAATTCTAATAGAAACGACTCTTTTCAAAACTGAGTGATTCATCCAGTCTGGGAGACGGAATCCTCTGAAGCCAATGATTGTTAAAGAGTGCAGATTTGCTTTTGCAGATAAGTTGGCCTCTTTTGCCTCTGTATGCTTCTTCACTCTCTCAAGGTTTGTGATTGAAATTGAGCCATGGAGATCCAGGTTTCGTAGTTCACCAAGTTGATAACTTTTCTTCCTTCCCACAACAAAGTAACTTAGAGTCTTAAGGCATGTCAAAGATCCTATCCTTGGTGGCATACAAGTCAATGGACAACCATCAAATAAAAGATTTCGGAGACTACCAAGTGTACTTGTTTGTTTTGGCAAACAAGAAAGTGACCAGCAGTCATGTAAATCAAGAGTCTGCAGATTTTGAAGCTTGCATAACTGCTTTGGAAGACTACGAATTCTAAGATTGCTAGACAAGTTTAGGTATCTTAAATGTACTAGATCTCCAATGGAAGACGGTAGCTGCTCCAGCTCAAGTTCTGTGTAACTTAGATTAAGTACCCTCAACGAGACAAAATTTTGCAAGAGAGGAGGAGAGTAAGGAGACACGATTTCAGCTAAACCAATGGACATCATATATGGGTAATATTTTACACTTACTTGGCGGATATTGCTGCTTGATGTGCTTGCCGAAAACAGAGATGTCGCCAAATCATGAATGAGATCATGCATCTTGAAATAAGTATTGCTAGATTTAACTTCAATCTCTTGGAAGAAAGATCTCAAGTATAATTCATTCCATACTTCATTACCTACATACTCTAGCTCCAAGTTTCCTTTCGATAAAAGGAAACCATGTGCCATCCAGAGAGAGATTAGATTTTCCTTTTCCATTTCGGTATCCTTTGGGAATACTGCACAATATGTAAAGCATTGTCTCAAATCAAGTGGAAGGTGATGGTAACTAAGTTGCAGGGCAGGCAGAATAGAACTTTCATCTTGAGGCAACTTCCAAATCTCACTATCTCTCACATGTTCCCATTCTCTTTCTTCTCTCTTGAATCGCAAAATACCTCCCAGAGTCTTGGCTGCTAGAGGCACACCACCACATTTTTTCACTATCTCCTTTCCGATAACCACAAGGTTAGGATTTATTTCTTCTTGGTGTCCCAATGCACGTTGCATGAACAACAACCAACAATCCCACTTCTCTTGATCTTCATTCCAAACATCATCTAAGACGAGTAAGTATCTTTTTCCATTCAGCAACTCCTGAAGCTTCTTTTGAAGTGGAGCCAAGTCCATGTCACCAAGTAGTGGCCTTCCTTCAGCAGATTCTACAATTGCCTTTATCAACTTCTTCTCTTCAAAATTGTCCGAGACACAAACCCATATTTTGGGATCGAAATGCTGAATCACTCTCTGATCATTGAAGACCATTTGGGAAAGAGTAGTCTTTCCTAGTCCCCCCATACCAACTATTGGGAGGACTGAAAGTTGTTGGGCATCACTAACATAGTTTATCAGGATTTTCACTATCTCATCTTCCTCTTTGTCCCTTCCATAAACTTGTGGTTCAGTTAAAATAGAACCTGGTCCAAGCAATGTCCACACGAGAATATTGTTACATTCACGATCATTAGGAGTCGGCAGAAAATAGAGAATAATATATGCACGCCTTAAAGAGATATATATAGATGAGCTTGAGGAGCAGGAGACATGAGAAAATCATGCTGAGTTCCACTTGGCAAAAAGTCCTAAAACATATTTTGAAGTTTCTCTATTTCTTCTGCAATCATTTTCAGAATCTGATATGAACCAGTAACTAAAACAAATTATTATTAATTTGTTGCCTTGTCCTTGAGTTTCTGTAACCAGTTTTTAATTGCCTTGTCCTTGAGTTGCTTCATCTGAGCATCTTCAAGCACGGCTTGGATTGTAGAAAACCTGCTAGAAAGATTTTCAAACTCATTTTCAAAACCGAAAAGCAATGAAAGTTCCCCTTCAAGGAAAGAAGTGATATTTTCAATCAGAATTTGAAGGAAAGCTTCTGCCATATGTTTAGAGTGGAATTGAACAAATTTAAGTTCAAATTTACTGCTTTGTGTTTCATGAATTACTTGTAATAAATACATTAATGGGAGAATGTAATATATACTTTTCGTGTAACGGAGAGTACTTTGCTTTCACTTTATAATCCGTATGCCAAAGTCTTCTACAGAATCACAAGACTGCTCTCTGCAGCAATGTACTCAACATATATTTGAATATGTTTGTTTCGAACACATGAGCACTATCTCATTCCAAGCATCTGAAACAACTGGGCTACAACAACTTGTTGTGTTAAGGGTGTTTAAAATATGTTATTTATTCATTTCGTGCATCATTTTACTTGTATATATGGTATTTTTTTTCCGATGAAGTTGGACACCCCGACCCACCATGTAGCTACGCCACAGGTGATGCCTCAGAATATTAGCAAGCAAATTTGGAAAACTTCTTTGTTTGGAAAGGAATATAAGTTGCTTTGAGAATTGGAACAATTATTTAACTAGTAGTGTTACGAGTAGATGTCTTCAAATTCTTTACTCTTGGAGTAGGGCAAGTATAACTTTCTTGCAAATTACTCGATCCGTTTGACCATGAGAATTATTCACTCTTTTTCATTTTGGGTGTGCTTTGTATGAAGGAAAATGTTAAGTCATTTGTGTATTCAATAGCTAATTCCATGACTGATTCGAAGCATCTCTTTAGAAGTAAAATATTCATCTACTGGCTTAAAAATTGAGATTGGATCTTGTTGGTCATGTTTTGATTTGGTAAAATTGAGGATCTATCATTTTTAGTTTTGCAAAAAAATGAGTCATGTTTGGTGTGAAGAATTGCCTATACAATGTGAAAGGGTCATATTGAAGATCAAAGAATAACTAGTTACTACTATTGTTGACTAGTGAATCAATATTAAATTATGTGTATTTGAAAGTTTGTAGACATAAATAATTATTTATAAAAGAAATAAGGAGATATGTGATTTATCAATGCAACATCTTTGGGATATTTTGATATGAACTATAATTTGCTCATTTATAGTAAACTTGAATAAAAATTTGAGAAATTTTTATAATTTTCACAATTTTGTGTGTTTTCAGGTTTATGAAAAATAAAAATGCAACTTAAAAAGTTCAAATTACATGTCCATACAAAACTTTAACTTCATATCTATTTTATTTTGGATCATAATTTCATATTACATGTCTAAACATGGCCCTATATAGCCAGTTTGGTTCTCCCTCTTTTTTTTCCGCTTAAAACTAAAATCAAATCAATTTTTGTCAGTTTTTTAAAGTTAAAAAATTATAATCAAACCAAACCAAAAGGTACCAGTCTTTTTTCTTCGATTTTTTGTGAATACTGGAATCTTAAGCAACTTTTATCGTTGATTTGTCGTTATTGAGAGTCCGACGGTATCATTTTTTAAATTCCTCCTTCTATGCAACTTGCATTTTTTGTCAAATATAATCATTGATAAAAATATTTAATGTTGAATTAACAAACATCCATCTTTATTATATCACATTTTTGTGACATGCACCAAAATGAGAAAAACGACCTCTTCAAAATGATTTATTTTATATTAGACATTTTTTTTGTGGTAAGCAAAGATAATATATAAGACTAGTTAATCGATGTTTAACATATAAATAATCAACTAATAAGGTTAAAGGCTTACACATACAAACTAAAAATTAGATCAAATGCACTAAAAATATAATACGAGGAATCTGTTTTAGGGATTACAGTGTCACCCAACGACCAGTCTTATTTTTAATAGTGCACTATTGATTGGTCTATCGGCAAAGAAAACTCGGAATTTAATGATTTTTGTTTTATCCTTCGGACATTTGTTATGTCATCACGACTACTTGTAAATTTGAACCGCATAAAAGTTTTTGTTCGAACTTCATATACGGAAATTCTAAACAAGAACTCAAAACTTGAAATGAATTCAACATTTAAATCAGTAGATAATTATTGATTGAATTCCTTAATATGTATATATACAAAGATCTGAATAAAAGCTATTGAATACATTGCATGTTAGATTTGTTAATTTGACCGTAACAGTTGACATTCTTTTGTCAAGCATCTATTCTGGGGAGGTTATATATATATACATTCGAATGATTGACATTATACTATAGCCTAAAACTACATAAAAATATGTCAAGTAAATAATTTAACTGTCACTACAAAATTCCACAACCAATGGTTTATTTCCCTTTAGCAATGAATTGCAGTCAAGTTCAGCTAGCAAATATAACAAAAAAAAAAAAAAAAAAAATTAAAAATGTTTCAAACATATTACATATATATGTTAATCATTGGTATTAATTAGATAAGTGTCGAAGCAATTAGAAGTATACACACAGTATATATAGATGGCGTTTGAAAACGAAAAAACTTAGGCACAAATAGCCGTTAAAAGACAAATCCCCGATGAAATAGGGCGTCTGAGGCGTTTAAAATACTTGTATTTGCAAATGAATAATCTCACTGGTCAAATCCCACAAAGCCTTGGATTTCTCACAAGGCTTCAATTTCTTCATCTTTCTGAAAATCGTCTATTTGGAAATGTTCCATTGTCCATTTTCAGTGTGTCTTCTTTAAAGGACATTCATTTGTCTCAGAATTACGAGTTAACTGGGAGTTTGCCAAATGAGATGTGCACTAATCTGCCAGTGTTGGAATATATATCCCTGCAAGATAATCAATTTGTGGGTGAACTTCCTAAAGGTTTAAATAAATGCGCCAAACTTGAAGTTCTGTCCTTGTCTTATAACAAATTCACAGGTAATTAACTAACTTGTAAACTTTTCATTTACTAATTTTACTTGTAATTTCTTCTTGAATTAATCATCCTTTTTGTGTATATGATGTTATATTTGATAGGAAATTTACCAAGAGACATGTGGAACATGTCAAAGGTTCAAGAACTATTTATTGGATGGAATAACTTTACAGGTACGTGATTTTGTATGTATTAAATCTTGAATACTCTTAATGAAGTTCCTAATTTCATTAGATATGGTCAATGTGTGCATTTCCTAGTAACAAAAAAAGATTAATATAGTTTGGTCTAGTTTTCATTATACAACAAAATAACTCTCAAGTCTCTAACAACTCCTAAATATGTGATATAAATCAGGAAAATGTTTTCTTGGATATAGTTAAAAAAACATTTTATCTTTCTGAAAAACATTTTCCTTATTCGTACCAAAGACACCCTATGTCTGATCTTAAGCCTGATAGCCATATACTTATTTTCAAAACAAATTTGCAGGAGATATACCAAGTGAAATGAACCTACCAGTTATTCGGAAATTGAGTCTTCGAAGAAACGAGTTAGTTGGAATACTACCACCATCTCTGGGGAACTTAACAACTTTGGTAATGATAGACATTGGTGAAAATAAAATTAATGGTAATATTCCTCCACAACTAGGACATCTCTCTAGTCTTGAAGGACTATATCTTGGATCGAATGCTCTAACAGGTGAAGTTCCTATTAGAATTTTCAACATTTCTTCACTAAAAGTAATAGCACTTGCTGCGAATACTCTGTCCGGTAAACTTCCTACAAACTTAGGCTATAGTCTTCCAAATCTTGAAGGACTTTATCTTGGGATTAATAATTTTAGTGGTAAACTTCCTAGCTCAATCTCAAATGCCACTAAGCTCAAATTTCTTGATCTTGGAAGGAACATGTTTAGCGGAAACGTACCAATTGATCTAGGACTAAATCTCAGGCAGATTCAAAGCATCAACTTTCAGAGGAATATGCTTACAAATGCTCCTTCTTCCACGGGCGAAATAAGTTTTCTAAATTCCTTCTCACATTGCAAGTACTTGAAATTTTTAATGATTGGAGACAACCAATTTAATGGCATTCTTCCGAAATCGTCCTTAACTAATATGTCGTTGTCTCTTGATCGATTCATCGCATTGACAAAAACCTTAGGCACCATTGGCTACATGGCACCAGGTACTGATCAATTTTTTATTTACTAATTACTTTCTTTAACTTGTATTCTATATGCATTTATGATGATGGCAGAGTACGGGTCAGAAGGGATAGTGTCAACTATGGGAGATGTTTACAGCTACGGCATTTTATTGATGGAAACCTTCACAAGAAAGAAGCCAGTAGATGATGAGTTTGTTGGAGACCTTACCTTGAAGAGATGGGTCGCGGAGTCATATCCTCATAGAGTCAGGGACATTGTGGATGCTAATTTATTTTCAACAGATGATAGCTATTGAAAGTTGTTTGAGATCGGTATTGGATGTAGCTCTTGAATGTACTGGATCCTTCTTCCATGGGTGAAATAAAGTTTTCTAAATTCCTTCTCACATTGCAAGTACTTGAAATTTTTAATGATTGGAGACAACCAATTTAATGGCATTCTTCCGAAATCATCCTTAACTAATATGTCGTTGTCTCTTGATCGATTCATCGCATTGACAAAAACCTTAGGCACCATTGGCTACATGGCACCAGGTACTGATCAATTTTTTATTTACTAATTACTTTCTTTAACTTGTATTCTATATGCATTTATGATGATGGCAGAGTACGGGTCAGAAGGGATAGTGTCAACTATGGGAGATGTTTACAGCTACGGCATTTTATTGATGGAAACCTTCACAAGAAAGAAGCCAGTAGATGATGAGTTTGTTGGAGACCTTACATTGAAGAGTTGGGTCGCGGAGTCATATCCTCATAGAGTCATGGACATTGTGGATGCTAATTTATTTTCAACAGATGATAACTTTCATTCTTATAATATGCATTGCGAGAAGAGAGAATTAAATTGTTATAGTGAAACACTGCCCTTGAGGTTTTACTTTACAATAAAAGTAAAATAAAATTAAACACATAATTTAATCGAATAGAGATTATCAAATAGTGACGAAGAAATAATTTTCAAAAAAGAAAATGTGTATGCAACGTTGAATATGTAGAAAAAGATCAAGAGTTGAATAATTTTTTACAACACTAATACAATTATTCCTATTATTACAATATTATTGTGGTAATTATTATACATGTCTCAAATAGGTTTTTATAAGTGTCATTTTAAGGAGTTATAAATTTGAGTATTAAATAATTATTTGAAGGTTATGAATATGAAAAGTTAGGAGTTATAGACATTACTAAATTAATTAATATTTAAATTTATGTAATTGAAGAGGTATAAATTAAGAAGATGATGTTATAAAATAAAATAATTGAAAAAAGAATTAGAAAAATAAAAAAACCACAAAAAGATAAATAGGATCCTTGGCCATTGAGAGGTGCCATATCACTTCTTTTTTATCTAACTTTATATAAATATATAATTTGGTAAGAATTTTTGGAAATAAATAAAGGAGATGCATAATGTTTTTTTTTTTAAAAAAAAAATTGTTTATTTGTGTGTGCGTGTTTATATGACATAAAAAAGATTTTATTTTGTCATGTCAATTTTACTTTAATAATAAATGTAGTTGGGTGATTGTTAAAGGTAAAACGTTTTAGTGATTTTATTGATACAAAATAAAGTTTAATGAATTTGCTAGATAAATTCTCATAGTTCAATGATCTTTTGTTTAAGAAGGTGAATTAACAGTTTTTTTATTAAGTATATTACAGTTACAAACTATAGGTTAGTTACTTTAATTTTCATTTGCAAGAAAAGATTATAAGTTGAAGTTAAATTTGGTAAAGAATTCATGATTTGGCTACATCTCTGTTAACAGCAGGTAATCATCTTAAATTAGTATCACAACAACTTAAATTATATTCATCTTTTTGGCAATTATCAAATTCGGAGAAGGGTCAGATATAGTTATGCTCTATTGGACATAGTTTAAATATACCTCCGTTTTGCTTTTGTTAACGAAGCAGCTCAAAGAAAAGAGATTCTCTTCTGTTCTGAATCTCCATTTGCTGCACTTGGATCCTTAATCCAATAACAAACAATTAACCTAACAGACATGTTTATCAAATTAAACAACTAAGTGTAAATTTTGTCTAACAAAGAAAAAAAATGAGTATGCATGTTTTCTCCCTGTTAGATTTCTTTCAGAATGGAATAAAGTTGGAGCATAGAATTCCATCGTTCATTAAAGTATCAAGTTCAGCAAAAGTACGATAATGGAAAATGATCAGAAACTACAAAAATGGAATAGAAACTTATTAGGCTGGAAGTGTGACAATATCATCCTCTAATAAAGCTACCAAATTTAATGTGGGTAATGAAGTATGAAAGAATTATACTTGAGGTCCTTTTTCCAAGAGGTTGAAGTTAAATTTGGTAAAGAATTCATGATTTGGCTACATCTCTGTTAACAACAAGCAACAATATCCGTGAAATGAAAGTAAAAGGATATTACTTTAAGGACATGGTGTCAATCGGTTTTGCTGAAGTTGTGTCTTCTTACTCTCCTTTGCTCTTGAAAAAGTTTGTCGCGTTGAGGGTTCTTAATCTAAGTAACATATAACTTAAGCAGTTAGCATCTTCCATTGGTGATCTAGTACATTTATGATACCTAAACTTGTCTTCGTAGTCTTCCAATCCAGTTATGCAAGCTTCAAAATCTGCACACTCTTGATCTACAATTAATATTGCTCCTCAGTTGGTTGTTTGCCAAATCAAACCACAAAACTTGGTAGTCTCCGAAATCTATTACTTGATGGTTGCTATGGATTGACTTGTATGCCACCAAGGATAGGATCTTTGGCAAACCTTAAGACTCTAGAGCGCTTTGCTGTGGGAAGGAAGAAAGGTTCTCAAAATATATCTAAACTTTGACCGAAATTGTTGTAACGTACAATCCCAAACTTTGGGCAGGACCCATTATCCCTGCACTATTTAATAGTGTATTTTAAAGATATATAAGTGTCCACGTGGACATTTGTAATGACCTTCCTGGTCATTTCTGTGCCTTGCATTCTGTGTGTCATTTAGAGCGTTCCTGTAGCGACCCCAAG